TTCCATGATTCCCTAAAATAGAACCTGTAGCTTGGCTTTGCTCCAAAGTTCTGGATGTACACCTCATCTACTGTCTTCTAGATGAGCCACAGTCATCTCAAAGTCAGTGACCCAAACTGAATTCCTCTCTATACCCAACCTGTTTCCCTTCTGTGTACCTTGTATCTTTGTGATTGGTACCACAATCCAGACAGTTATTCAAGCAGTAGACTCTGGGGTCATCCCAGACTCCTTTTTTCCACTTCCAGTCACCAGGTCTTTCATATTTCATTTATGGCTATCCCCTATAGGCCTTTCTTCTTTTCTGCATACCCGGAGCTACAATCTTGGTTTAGGTGTGTCTGAATCACCCATGCTGATATTAAAGTAGCCTTTTCAAAATGGAAAAAATAAAAAGATGATTCTGTTGCTTCTAACTTAAAACTTTTCAGTGGTCTCAACTTAACTGCATAACAGAATCCCAACTAATCCACATGGCATTTAGGCCTTTTGTTGCCTACTTGCTTGCCAGCCTCCTCTTCCATCACAATCCCTACCCACCCACCAAACAAGCAGGAAAAGTTGTGTTGTTTCATGCCATGTCTTTTAACAAGTTATTCCTTTTGCTTACTACAAGTTCTTCCTCTTTTTTTTTTTTTTTAAGAATGCCCTGGTTAACTATGACTTTATTTATCCTTTTCTTAAAAATTAATTATATTTTTAATAAAATGATAAATATACATTTTTTAATTTAAAAAATCAGTACTAAGAGGCTTATAACAATAAATAGCAGATCTTTGCACCATACTTTTCTGCCTCTCTACTAACCACTTTTGACTCTTTTTGATGTTTCTTCTGGTATTCAACTGTTTACTGCAAATCATTTCCTTATAATGCCACTTCTTGACTTGTCAGGTTTAGACTTTATCTGCTGACCTTATCTTCTCTCATAATTCCAGGACCGATACTCAAAACATTCAAGAACTGGCACAGCACACACTGATTAGTCACAACCAGTTATCCCATATGGTATATGTGGGCTAATTACTGGCCCTGAATTTATGAACATATTTTGTTAAATTATCAATATTGACATTATTATAACCACATAAATATTATCCACTGTTGAAACAATTAACATATTATGATTATTATCTTGTTTACACTTTTTTTTGTTTTTTATAAAAGTTATTAACTGATGCTTTTAAAAATCATTTATTCCTCATTAAGAACTCATGGCAAATCTCAATTTCTCCATGAAGTCTTTGCCACTAGGCAGAGTTGATTCTCTATCCTATTACTTCTGCATTATCATCGTTGTTGTACATATTATGCTGTACCTTAAAGATTTGTGTGTCAGGCCAGGCTTGGTGGCACGTGCCTGTAATCCTGGCAGTTGGGGAGGCTGAAACGGGTGTATCACTTGAGGTCAGGAGTTCAAGACCAGCCTGGTCAACACAGTGAAACCCCATCTCTACTAAAAATGCAAAAATTAGCCAGGCATGGTGGCAGGCACCTATAATCCCAGCTACTCGGGAGGCTGAGGCATGAGAATTGCTTGAACCTGGGGGGTGGAGGCTGCAGTGAGCCTAGATTGTGCCGCTGCCCTCTAGCCTGGGAAATAGAGTGAGGCTCTGTCTCAAAAAAAAAAAGAAAAGAAAAAAGAAAAAGAAAATAAAAGTGTATGTCTATCTTCCCAGAATGTGATCTCCTTGAGGTTAATGATAATACCTGTGTCTGTTATCTTAGAGCCTTCAGTGTCTTGAGTCTTGCACCTGTGTCAAATACATAGTCTTAATAAATATTCATTGTATTATGAATGAACAGGAGTGTCCTTTTTCTTTATAGCAGCCTTTATTGTTTAGTAGATAGTTTTGTGAGCATTTATCTGGTTTCTGAGTCTCTTTTTACAGATCACAAACTCAAATACCTGTTAGGGCCTGAGTAGTTAAAATAGATAAGTGCAGGAAGCCTCATGGGTTCTGGGGCACTTAAAGGGGTCACCTGCTTCTTAGTTTCAGCCAGTTGGTGCTAGGAAAGTATCTTAGGTCTGTCTTGCCAGATCTTCCACTCTTTCAATGGAAGAAGAAAATTCAGGTTTAATATGAACTGCCTTGATTCAATTATTAAAAACTGTGAAGGTCAGGCAAATGCTTCTTCAGGCTCGCTTTGGTTCACACCCACCAACCTGTGACCTGTAGGTTGCTGGGGTGGGCAGGAAGAGGAGCAATGTATGCTCTGCTTGGTTTGGGAGGTGGCTTGGCTGAGGATTCCTCCTCCCCATGCTTTGCCTCCACCTGTGAGGACAGTAACCTCCTTTTGCCAACTGACACCAGCATGTGAAATGAGGCTTAGCAGAAGGAGCCTGGGCTGTAGCCCCCAGCCTATGGGGATGTTTGAAGGCCTCAGCAGGGTTTCAAAGGAATTGGAATTCCCTCTGTGAGTGGAATTGGAGAATAATGGGTTAAATTATAAGTGATAGTGAGAAGGCGTGCAATTGGACTGCACATTGTATAGCATGTGCCAAGTCATGTGCTCTTTTTAAAAATCAACTTAAGTTTTACAATAACCCCGAGAAGGACATACTACCATCCTCAGATTGCAGATGCAGAATCTCTATGAGATTTAGAGATTTTTTATTTTTATTTTTATTTGTTTCGTTCCCATCATTAGAAGAGATTAAGGCCTCCTATTACTGCCCATGAAGAAAACCCATGGATGGGATTTTAGAAATGAATTAAACATATTTTATTATTTTCCACTAGAAATTGCTCCTGGGATTTTTGAATATAAAGAGTTTTTTTCTTGTTCATTTATAGATTGATTCATTCAGTCTTTTAACATTTGTTGAATATTCGTTAAATTCTGTATTAGGCACCAGGATTACAAAGATGAATGATATAAAATTACTGTGCTTCAGAAGCCCTAAATGATTGTTTGTTTCTATTTGTTCCAAGTGTGAAGGAAAGGGCAGATGCTGGGAGAAAACGTGTAAATAATCTAGAAATTTGGTAGCCAAATTACAATTTACAAAAGAAATACATGAGTCACCTCTTTTTTCTTGTTGCAACAGATAAAATGTGCTTTTAGAAAGCTTCGAAAATACAAATAAGCAAAAATTAAGAAAAGTGTTGCCTTAAGGAAATTGTGAGCAACTCTCTATTTACTCATTCACCTTTTGACTATATGGATAGGTTTTTACATATGTTTGAATATCATCTTTTAATGGCTGGATAGTATTTTGTTGCATGAAGATAGTTCAATATACTTAATTAATCTATTGTCAGTTATTTAGGTAATCTATATATTTTTTTAAGCTCATCCCATTTTGTAGCTAAATGTCTTTATTTAACGTGAATTATTTCCTTAAGAAAACCATTAGCAATGTAATTACTGAATTTAAGACTTATACATTGTGTTTTCATTTGCTTTTGTGTTTTGTGTAGTGCTAAATTGTCCTCAAGGAAAGCAATACTAATTTACCCATCACCAATGGATTTGAGTTTCCGTTTCTCTTTACTGTTACCCATGCTAGGTACAATTTCTTTCTTTAAAAAAATATTCCAATTAGATAGGTAAAAAAGAGTCTCTCTTTTAAAAGACCCTTTTGAAAACTCTTGACCTTTGAATTTGCTAGCCATTGTTGCTTTCTGGTACAGTGGTAGCACTTTCTGTTATGGTTAATTGGCTCCACAGCTTGGGGGCAACTTGAGGATTTTGCGATCTAGCACATTCTATTCACCTGTGTGTTCCTGTATGTCCATGAATGTTTGTTGAATGAAATTGAATTGGAGAACATCCATATGTTTAGAAATCATTAGACGTATAAATTTCAATACAACTGGTGGACAGGCTATTTTATTCTTGTCAGTTGCATCATAATAAGTAATTTTTATTGCACATTGCTTACATACCAGCACCGTGTTAAGTGCTTTTCATAGTTATCTGGCCAAAACAGCTCTTAAACTCAAGACCAGCTAATTTCTAAGCCATCTTTCTCTTTCTTGACTTTCCTCCCTCCTCTCTTCTTTCTTTTTCTATTCTTTCCTCCTATTATTATGGACATGTTTAAGCACATACGAACTAGAGAGGACAACATAATGAACCTTGATATACCCACCATCAGCTTCAGCAATTATCAATGTGTAGCCAACCTTATTTCATCCATGCCTTTTCATCACTTCTTTGTATCCTCCTTCTCATGTTGGATTATTTCAAAGCAAACATCAGATACATCAATTTTATCCATAATTACACACACACAGACACGATATAGAACCTGTTTTTTAACCTAAACCACAATATCATTATCATACTTTAAAATATCTGTAACATTTTTTAATATTATCTAGTGTCCAGTCAGTGTCAAATTTCCCTGATTATCTCATAAGTGACCTTTTCTGCTTGGTTTGTTTGAATCAGTATCTACACAAGTACTGCACATTGTATTCTGAACCATTCTAACCACAGCATGGCATTCTTCTCTACCTTGTAAAACATGTGGCCTGTCCTTCTCAGAAACAGAGATTCTTAGCTGAAGGGATCTAAAATTTTTAAAGAATTCCCATGGATCAAATATCTCCCCAGAAAGAAGCACACTCAGTTGTTAACACCTGAGAAACGCTGGGTCTGTGTGGAATGGAGAAGGCACTTTGCTTGCCATGGAGGTTCACCAGCCACTTTCCCTGGAAATTCATCAGTATATCCACTCAGGGACTGGGAATTCAGCTGCTCTTACTTCTGCTTTTGTTATAAGGCTCTTTCACAAGCTATGGCCAAGTTTCCTCCTTAAGATCCATAGTTAGATGTAAGTGACGGTGACTTGAAAATTCATTCTTTAGCAATGAGCTGAAAATGTGCAGCATGTTGGCCTCTGTATCCCTTCTGGGAGTGAATGACTTGGAAATGGAAACCGTAGGTTGTTATTTTCATAAATGGGTGAAATGGGTGATGACTTTGATAGACTGTTTCACAATAAGCAAATTTTCATGCCTGGTTTTGGTTGTGTTTTGAACTTGAAGGTCTAGTGATCCTCCACTGTGTGGTGGCAGATGGGAATTCCACCAGAAGTCCTGAAACTAATGGCCTTCTCTGTGGAGACCCTGATGAAAACTGTGCAGGTAATGTTTCACAAACTTTATATTCAAATCTGAGTTTTAGTTTTCTGATAATAATAGTACTCATAATACTAGGTAATTGAGTACATATTGAAGTACTGGCCACTGTGCTAAAGTTCTTTATATACAGTAATTCATCACTACTCACAAAAGCCCTCTGAGCTAGATAATATTTTTTATTTTATTTCAAGGAAAAACCTACAAAGATTAAGTAACTTGCCAAAGGTCATACAGCTGGAAAATAGCAAATCTGCAATTCAAACGCAGGTCCTTCTGATTCTAGTGCCTCTGGTCAGCCACTGTATTTTGGGTCACAGATGCATGTTCCAGACTCCAGCATGTGATATCTTAGTCTGGATTCATGAAAAGCTGACATATTCTACTCAAAGTTAAATTCCTTTTTTCTTTTCTATTTCTTAGTTAAAAGAAGGGAAGAAGGCAAGGATTTTACATATTTTATCTTGGAGATGCTTGAATTAGTGTTCTGAAACTTATCAGTCTAAGGCAGGAGTTGGCCTTAGTAAAGGGTTAGGTAATAAGAGTTTTAGGCTTTGTGGGTCATGATGTCTTTGTCACAACTACTCAACACTGCCATTGTACTGTGAAAGCAGTCATAGACACTATGCAAATGAATAGGTTGGGCTCTGTTCCAATAAAACTTTAGTTAGAGAAACAGGCTGTGGGCCAGATCTGATGCTTGGACTACACTTTGCTGACCCCTGGTCTAAGGTTATGTTTGTTCTATATAGATTATATGGTCTGGTCTTCTACAGGGGTTATTTCTGACTTAAAAAAACTTCTATGAACTGGGAGTATGGTGACTTGATGTAAACTTCTCCTTTCCTAGCACTCTTGGGAAGTTGTAACAGAGCCAGGAACACACTGAGCAAGTCTTCCTGATGTGAGTCATCAGTTCCAGCCCAATTTTCCCCTTTCATCCCTCACAGTAGTGGGTGGTCAGAGGGTGCTCATCGGCTGTAGAATCTAATGGTGTCTTAGGTCATGTTTGGGTCTTGTCATCCTTGTAGGCAGAAGAACAAGGCCAACTTTATGTGTTCATGTGTTTTTCTTCAGTCTGGTTTCAAATGTCTTCAATGATGGCATTTTTTCACATTTCCCTTGGGAAATCATTCCATAATTTGATGACAGACAATGTTCCAAAATCTTCCTCATCATCATCCTAAATGTGTTTTCTAATTTTATTTTTATTGTAGTAAGAACATTTAACATGAAACCTACCCTTTTAACAAACTTAAAGTGGGCAATACAATATTGTTAACTACAGATTAGCAGATCTCTTCAAATTTATTAATTTTGCACTAACTGAAACTTTGTACCCATTGAATAGCAACTCCCCAAGCCTCCAGCAACCACCGTGCTACTATCTGCTTCCATAAATTTGGCTATTTTAGATGTCTCATATAAGTAGAGGCATTCATATTATATTTGTCTTTCTGTGACTGTCTTATTTCACTTAGCAAAATTTCTTTCAGGTTCATCCATGTTGTCACAATGGCAGTATTTTTCTCTTTTGTAAGGCTGAATAATATTCTATGTATGTACTGTACTTTCTTTATCCATTAATCTATCAGTAGACTCTTAGGTCGCTTCCATCTTTTGACTTTTATGAAATAATGCCACAATAAACATGGGAATACAAGTATCTCATTGAGATCCTGATTTTTATTAGGTCATTTGTTTTCTTGTTATTGAGTTGTAAGAATTCTTTATGTATTTTGGATATGTGTAATCAATATGTTTTGTATAGTGCTAAATTTTCCTCAAGAAAAACAGTACTAATTTACCCATCACAATGGATTTGAGTTCCCATTTCTCTTAACTGTTATAACTTCTAACCCTGTCTCTGCACAGCCCAAACTCTGTTGTTTCTTTTTCTGTGAAGAAGCTTTTTCATTTGACATAGTCCCACTTGTTTATTTCACTTTTGTCACCTGTGCTTTTGGTGTCACATCTAAGAAATCATTGCCAAGACCAATGTCAAGAAGTGTTATCATATGTTTCCTTGAAGGAATTGTACTGTTTCAGGTCTTAATATAAGTCTTCGGTCCATTTTGAGTTGATTTTTGTGTAATGCAACAAGCGAGTCCAATTTCCTTCTTTTGCATGTGTATATCTAGTTTTCAAACATCATTTATTTAAGAGACTACCCTTTCCTCTTTGTGTATTCTTAGTACCCTTTCTGAAGATCAGTTGTTCATATATTCATGGGTTTATTGTTTGGCTGTCTACTCTGTTCTATTGGTCTTTATGTATGTCTTTATACCAGTACCATGCTGTTTTAATTATTGTAGCTTTGTAATATGTTTTAAAACCAGGAAGAACGATACCTCCAACTTTGTTCTTGCTCAAGATTGTTTTGGCTATCCAGGGTCCTTTGCAGTTTCCTTTGAAATTTAAATTTAATTTTCCATTTCTGTAAAAAAAAGTCATTGGAATTTTGATAGTCAATCTATAGATCACTTTGGGTAGTATGGACATTTTAACAATATTAAATCTTTTAGGCCACAAAAACAGGATGTCTTTTTATATACTTTTGTCTTTCTAAAATTCTTTAATTAATATTTTATAGTTTTCAGTGTACAAGTCTTTCATTTATTTAGTTAAGTTTATTCCTAGGTGTTTTATTCTTTTAGATGCTATCATAAGTTAGTTTATTTTTTACTTTGCTTTTTGAACCGTTTGTGATTAGTGTATACAAATACAACTGTTTTTTCATGTTTATTTTGTATCCTACAACTTTGTGAATTTGTAAATTAGTTCTTACAGTTTGTGTGTATTTGTATATGTGTGTGTGTCTGTGTGTAGTCTTTAGAATTTTATATGTTTAAGATCATGTCATCTTCAAGTAGAGATAAAATTCTTTTTTTCCAATTTAGATTCCTTTTATTTTATTTTTTCCTAATTGCTCTGACTAGGACTTCCTGCACTATGTTGAATGGAAGCAGTTAGACTGGACATTCTTGTCTTGCTCCTGATCTTAGAGGAAAAGCTTTGTAATTTTTTACCATTAAGTACCATGTTAGTTGGGGGTTTACATATAAGGCCTTTCTTATGTTGTGGTAATTTCCTTCTATTACTAGTTTGTTAAAAGTTATTATGAAGGGGTGTTGAATTTTGTCAAAATGAATTATGAATGAGTCTATATTCATTAAAGACATTGCCCTGTAGTTTTCTTTTCTTATAATGTCTTTGTTTAACTTTGGTATCAGGGCAATCCTGGCTTCGTAAAATGTTTTTGGAAGTGTTTCTTCCTCTTCAATTTTTTGAAAGAGTTTAAGGATTGGAATTATATATTTAAATGTTTGATAGAATTCACTAGTGGAGGCATCTGGACCCGGGCCTTTATTTGTGGAGGCTTTGGATTGTGACCAATTTCCTTATTAGTCATAGGTCTGTTCATATTTTCTGTTTCTTTATGATTCAATCATGGCTGGTTGTTTGATTCTAGGTATTTATCTCCTTCTTCTTGGTTATTCAATTTTCATAGTAGTCTAATATAATCCTTTTTATTTCTGTGACATCAGTTCAAAAAGCACAAAATAATAGAAAAAGCTTATAGAATAAGATATAAAGAAAATATTTTTGTAGAGCTGTACAGTGTGTTTGTGTTTTCAGCTGTTATTACAAGAGTCAAAGGAGAAATTAATAAAAAAGTTTATGCAATAAAAAGTTATAGTAAATTAAAGTTAATTATTGAAGAAAGAATTTTTTTATAATGCAAATGTATTGTAGCCTAAGAGTACAATGTTTATAAAGTCTACGGTGGTTGATGATAATGTCCTAGGCCATCATGTTCACTCACCACTTACTCACTGACTTACCTAGAGCAGCTTCTAGCCTCTCAAGCTCCTTTCATAGTAAGTGCCTTATATAGATATACTATTTGCAAACTTTTATATCATATTTTTACTGTACCTTTTCTGTGTTTAGATACAAAAATACTCACCATTATGTTATGATAGTCTACAGTATTCAGTACAGTAACATGCTATATAGGTTTGTAGCCTCAGAGCAATAAACTATACCATATAACTAAGGTGTGTATAGGCTACACCATCTAGGTTTGTGTAAGTACACTCTATGATGTTTGCTCAATGAAAAAACTGCCTAATAACGCATTTCTCCAAACATATTCCTGTCATTAAGTGATGGATAACTATATATCATCCTAGTCCTTTCTGGCCTACAAGGTTTCTGCTGAGAAATCCACTGAGTGTGATGGAGGTTCCTTTGTGCATGAAAAGTAATTTTCATCTGACTCCTCTCAAAATTGTCTGTTTATTTTGAACTTTTGACAATTTGATTGTGAGGGGTCTTGGTGTGGATTTCTTTGGGTTTATGTTTTTGAAATTTGTTGGTCTTCTGATTATGTATGTATATTTCTTTCCTTAGATTTGGTAAGTTTGGGGCATTATTTCTTTGAATAAGCTTTCTGCCCCTTTCTATTTTTCCTCTTAGACTACTATCAGATATATATTGGTCTGCCTGTAGTTATGGTGTTTCATAAGTCCTTCAAGCTTTTTCACTTTTTAAAATTCTTTTTTAATTTTTGCTCCTATGATTGTATAATTTCCAATTATCTGTCTTGAAGTTTGCTAATCCTGTCTTTTGCTTGACACAGTCTGCTGTTGAACCCATCTATTGAATTTTCCAGCTTAGTTACTGAATTACCCAGCTTGAAAATTTATGTTTGATTAAAAAAAAATTTTCTACCTCTTTCTTGAAAATTTCACTTTGTTCATGTATTGTTCTCCTGTCTTCATTGAGCATCTTTATGATAGTTATTTTAAATTCTCTGTCAAATAAATTATACATCTTCATTTCATTAGTGCTTTTTTTTTTCTCTTTAGGATATATTTACCCGTTCCTTCATTTTTCTTAACTTGCTGTGTTGGTGTCTGTGCATTAGAGAAAACAGCTACCTCTCCTCTCTTCATGGACTGGCCTTATGAAGGAGACTCTCATTAATCAGTCTGGTTGAA